GGCGGGAAGTGCTTGGAAAAAAACATTAGTGCAGAAGTGGCGGTTGCATCTATCTAGTTGAGACGTTAAGACCTAGTTGTCACTCATGTAGCATGCTTAAATTCGTTATAGATGCACCAAGGAAAGCTTGTCAGAGCAGTTGCAATGAAAATATTTGTAGAGCAGACAGAAGGAATTCACGTTACGCCGGCGATAAAGTCACTAAAAACGAGATACCTTTCGTAGAGCCTTAAAAGTCTAATTTCTGATAGCTCAAAAATAAATCATATAGACGTTTTAATTTTAAACGTGAAGCGACCATCTATCTTTAACGGATACATTTAATAATACATTTAATACGAGCGTGGATTCATCTTCCAACAGCAGACGTAAGTAAGTAAGAACTCTTAAAACATTCCTCTGCCTAGATGAAGGAAAAATTCTTTCTGTCACTTGTATACCAAGGGATGAAGGGAATGCAAATATATTAACCGAAGAAAGATTTAGTGTAAAGCGCTTAAGGTTCTGTGATTGCTTACTGTGTTACACACACTTGCTCATCATGAATCTGCGCTAGTACCACTCTGTATTAGTTTATCTTCACCTTTATCTACAATGGACAGAAGTTTGTCTTGATTTATATACAACTCAACGCTTGTAATGCTCTGACTTATGTTGGGAAGTACGGATGAGACTATCCTTTCCTCATCAGGCTAATGGTCTTTTAACAAAATATATTGATAGCACAGAATTAATAAGATATTTTTTGCAGGCAATTATGGAAGCACGACTTAAATCTAACAATATAACTTACAAACATTAACCAAATTTTAAGACCACTTTGCGATTTCACTATCTTATAATTTTAGAAAACAATACAGTAACGCGTACTATATGAAAGAATGACTAGAATTTACTCACCAAATTGTGCGCCACGATTTTCTCTATTCGTTTTCAAGACAAATAGATCAGCGGTCAGAGTTTTTTAAGACCTTCTTGCTTTCGACTACTGCATAGATTCGGTGGAGCATGCTGAGAATCAAGTCGTTGCAATAAATAACGGTTTCAGTACAACGTATTTCTACAATCATTTCATTGTCAAAATATCCTTCATCCTACAGACCCACAATTTAGGTGTTTCGTGTAGGTAATAGTGAGCATCTTTGCCCATATATTATACGTTATTTATACAAATAATATTGTAAACGCTTTTATTTGCTAATGACAATAACAAAAGCTTTTGGATTAGGAAATCGCATATCATAAAAGGTAATAGAGAAAACTGAAAATGACCACCATGTTACAATTTAACAATTTTTGATGTTTACAATACAATGAAGTATTGAACAATAAGAACTCATTTCGATGATGTTACTGATATTACGTCAATAATTCTGTTCACTCGTAAACACTGGGGTCATCTTTTTAAAATTCTTTTGCTTCATTAGCAGTTTTTAAAGTTTCTTAGGTCGCAGCTCCTATCAGAATATAAAACCATTGATTTTATATCATTATATAAAATAGATCCTCTTTATAATATCGATACATTCTAATATTAAATTTCAAAAACAAACATTTCAAGACGCTTTGTGTTAGTGTTAATTTAAGCAAACACAAAACGCCTTGAAAACAAATAGTCGATTTTTGATGCGTTCAATCAAAGGAAACCATGTTGTATGTCGCTAAGTATGTTTCATCTAAGTATATGTTTCAAAATACACTGTAGATTTATCATCGGTCTTCCAGTGTTTATGATTTTTAAAAATTGTACTGAAAAATTATGAACACTATGTACCGAGTGTAACAGCAAAATTGTCCAAATCGTATTACAGCATGAGTGTCCATGCCACAAAATGTTTAATATCTAAATCCAATAAACTAATTGAGTTTCTTTTTTCCAGATTTTCAGAGACGACGTTTAGCCCTCTTGACAAATTTTTTTTCGAGAAAAATCACTGAAAAATCCTTTGAGATATTCACCTAGAATGAAAACAGGTTAACATCGTTTTGTGCCAGACCAACTATACCTTTCCAACTGAGCAATGGTGAGAAGGAGATGATCAATTAGTCCTTCAATAAAGGTACCAAAATTTACACTCTGGCTTCCATCTTCCAAGTCCATTCAAGAACCATCAAGAGAACGGAGAATAAGTTTAAAAACAGGGAGAAGAAGAGAGCAGTATTGAATCGGGAGGTCACAACATTAAGAAGGATCATCATTTCAACTTAGTGCTACAGTGTTCAAATAGAAAAAAGATTCAACTCAATGCATAAGATGTTTGGCACGTGAGAGAAGTTTCAGCTATAACAGTCCAAAGAACAGTGAAAAAAGACGTGTAAATGAAATCGTACTTGAAACCTGTTCGGCACCTTGTTACTCCAAGACACAAAGGTAGAATGTTGTTTATCTTGAATACATTAGGAAATGAAGCAGCCATATTATATATATATATATATATATATATATATATATATATATATATATATAAATTGATGCTGAACATTTCTTTACTCAATGAAGCCGAGTGACCTGGAACTGTGTTATATACATGTCATATTCAATTAGCAGTTCGCAACAAATCGTTTCTCAAGTTTCATTGACGCTGTTGAAAATATTCTTATGTTACTTGATTACTTATTTAGCGATGTGGGTCAAAGATATTATCATGATATTAGACGGAAAAGGAAACTACAGGACCTCTTAAAGAAGGTAGAAAAGAAAGGTAAATATTAAGCAGGTACAAACATTTACATATCTAGGATGTGTTTTAAAATGCGACATATATATATATATATATATATATATATGTCGCATTTATATATATATATATATATATATATATATATATATATATATATATATATAATTTATTTGACTAATTTATTTTCTGATCTTTAGTTATGCTTAATTAACGATAAATATGCCATTTTCATTTTTGTCGATTTTATCACGATTATTCAGTTAAGCTTGGATAGTAATTATACATTCTTATTCTTCGCAGTAGAGTCCAATAGTTTTACAAAATCATCGGAGAATTCCACTAAGATATCTTTAATCATATGTAAGATACAAACCTTAATCTGACAATGGGACTATTTGGCACGTGAGAGAGAAGTTTCAGCTATAACAGTCCAAGGAACAGTGAAAAAAGACGTTTAAATGAAATCGTACGTGAAAACTGTTCGGCACCTTGTTACTCCAGGACACAAAGGTAGAAGGTTAGAGAAGGCGAAGTTTATCTTGGGAAATGAAGCAATCATATATATATATATATATATATATATATATATATATATATATATATATATATATATATATATATATACATATATATGATATTAAACGGAAAAAGGAAACTACAGGACCACTTAAAGAACGTAGAAAAGAAAAGTAAATATCAAGCAGGTACAAACATTTACATATCTAGGAAGTGTTTTAAAAGGCGACATATATATATATATATATATATATATATATATATATATATATATATATGAACTTTATTTGAATAATTTATTTTCCGATCCTTATTTATGATTAATTAACGATGAATATATCATTTTCATTTTTGTCTATTTTATCACGATTATTCAGTTAAGCTTGGATAGTAATTATACATTCTTATTCTTCGCAGTAGAGTCCAATTCCAGTAAGATATCTTTAATCATTTGTAAGATACAACGGTACAAAACTTAATCTCACAATGGGACTATTTTGCTGTTATACGATGTGAACAATTTTGCTGTTACACTCGATATATAAAAAGTCTAGCAAGAATCAGAATAAAATATCAGCAATAAGAAATAACTTTTCGTTGAAATATTTTTTCTTCAGAAATATACAATCTCATATTCTAATCGACGTTAAAATTATATTAGAATTCAACAAAGATAAACCAATATTAAATATTGAAAGTAACTATCATCATTTCTAGGAACTAAAACAAACATACGAATTGAAGCTTAATTTATATTAGAATTCTACTAAGAAACATAATCTAATATTAACAATAGAAAGTCAGTCTTCTTGCTAACCCTTATTTCCTTAGAAGCAAAAATACAAAAAAAAAATGTCATTATGGAAGACAGCCAGAAATGGATAAAATCGGTGACTCATAAAATGAAATCGGAAAGCGGCGATGATTTGGCTTTTCTTGACAGCGTGCCAGACTGCCCCTTTTCCAAGTGAACAAGCTGAACGTTAGCAGTTAATGTGATCCCTAACCCTGCCTGATGGAGTTGTCGGCCAGTGATAACCTATTTAAGCCAACTTGCCGTTTCCTTCTAAGCCTTTTTACAGATAGCTAAGACTTCGCTTGATTGCCTTTACTTCGCGCTATTCAGGTGCAAAAATAGGATTAGTTGAAGAATTTAATCGTTCTGATGCGTTTATTTTGGCCATCAAAATCAATCTTTAAGCTGTCATTTCTTGCAAAAGTAATTTATTTTTCTGTCAGCTAAAAAGGTTTTTATTCCTCTTTCTTAAATAAAAAGCTATATTTAAGTATAGCCGAAAAATCAGCTTCAAAAGGTAAAGAAACAGTTTTAATACTATGTTGTGCGTGTTCTTTCGTGAAATGCAATGTATCTGTATAATGTAACTAGCAAAATCGTTAATTGCGAAAGAGTAATTAAAAAATGCTATTTTTTTTCCTTAACAACGAAATTAGTAATGAAATACTAGCAAAAATGTATTTATTGTTACAAATCGTAGTTAAATTGAAAGTATTTCGCCGGCGATCAAAAACATATAAATATCCCCAAGCAAATAACAATGATGAGAATTTATGCTTCATTAAATAACGTTAATTCTCCTCGAACATGAGTAAGAAAATAACCGCAAGCAGAGGACATACAGGAGTTTAGAGAGGGTGGAGAGAGGCAAAGGCAGAAAAGGAGAGAGAGATCAGAGCACAAGAACAAAAATAAGACAGAAGATATGAGAGAGCACAGAAGAGGATAGGAGGAGGAGACGTTAAGAAAGATGATAGAAGCGGAAGTGAAGAAAACAATTGAAATATTTAGGAGAGGAAATGAATGTTGGCAATAGAGGGGAGGAAGGAAGAGTTAGGGTGATAGCAGAGAAAAAACGAAGAAGTTGGGATAGCATTAGAGAGATTAAGAGAAAGTGAGAATAAGAGAATGAGTGTATCAGAGAAAGACAGAATAAAAGAATGAGAGTATAAAAGACGGTGAGTAGGAGAGAAAAAGGATAGGAGAATGAAAGTATAAGAGAAGGAAATTATAAAAGGAGAGTATAAGAAAAAGAGAGTATAAAAAGAAAGAGTGTATAAGAGAACGAGAAGATAATGAGAGTATAAGAAAAGAAGTGTAAGATGAGGAGAGTAAAAGAGAAGGATAGCATAAGAGAGAGTATAAAATAATGAGAATATAAGAGACAGAGAGTATAAGACAATGAGAGTATATGGGAAAGAGAGTATAGGAGAATGAAAAAATGAGAGAAAGAGAGTATAAGAGGATGAAAGCATACGTGAATGAGAGTATAAGAGAATGAAAGTGTAAGAGAAAGAGCTTATAAGAGAATGAGAATATCGGGGAAGAGAGTATAGCAGAATGAGAGAATAATAGAAAGAGAGCCTAAGAGAATGAGAGCATACGTGAATGAGAGTATAAGAGAATGAAAGTATAAGAGAATGAAAGTATAAGAGAAAGAGATTATAAGAGAATGAGAGTATAAGGGAAGAGAGTATAGGAGAATGATAGAATAAGAGAAAGAGAGCATAAGAGGATGAGAGCATACGTGAATGAAAGCATAAGAGAATGAAAGTATAAGAGAATAAAAGTGTAAGAGAATGAAAGTATAAGAGAATGAAAGTGTAAGAGAATGAAAGTATAAGAGAATGAAAGTGTAAGAGAATGAAAGTATAAGAGAAAGAGATTATAAGAACTATCAGGGAAGAAATAAGAAAAATATTTAGGTTTGGCACACTAATTGCAAAAAGCGAACGAAGTTCAAATTCCAGACGTTTCATAAATATATCGAATCCAAATAAGAATTGACTGTTAAATTTTATTTTGTGTCAGTATACCACTGATTTTTGGCACTTCAATATGGAGTATTGATTAGATAGTTAATGTTTCAGATAATTCCTGCTGTAATCATTTCAATCCTCATTGGAAATCTACGCTTCTTCATCTTCTTCTTCGCCGTGGAAGTTCATGGCTCACCACATATACCTGTCCGTTGTAGCTCTTTTGTCTTTTCCCGATCTCTCCCAATTCCTCTTTCGCCAACCATTTACACTCTCTCGTTAGGTAGGTTATGCGTTACTTGCATGTGTCCATTTCGCCTTCAATATGCTCAGTCACTATCAATATTTCCAAGCTCTCTTTCAAAAAGAGCCCTAGAAATTCCAACTGTCTTTTCCTGATGTAAAGTATAAGTGTCCTTATGGTTTCTATTTTCTCTAAACCTTCCTGTTCAGTCTATTTTATTCTCAGTATTCTTCTATAGAACCATATTTCTATTGCCACAGTTTGTATTCTTCATCTGTGTTATAAGTAATGATAAGTTCAGTATTATGCCGTCAATGAAATTTAACTTTCTGGGTGATAGATGACAGTGAATGTGATGTAGTGACCCGAAGCGAGGTAAAAGTTGCCTTCCAGAAAGCAAACAAGTCAATAAGCGACAAGGAAATTTTGTAACAAAGAACGGAATTCACTGCAGGGCGATTTCGTCACAGTGCAAGAAGAGACTTGAAACTTTAGAAATGTATTTCTACCAACGAATAATATACTATTGACTAACGGTAATGGTGATTGTAATATCAGTCATTTCTTTGTCAGGATATTTTCGATACTCATTGACCGTACAGTCACTGCTATTGTGTTTTCAAATTCAGAAAATCTGTCTGTCGAAAGGGTTTTTAAGGAAAAAAGGTTTCTCATTTCCAGGAACTGCTGCTCTATCTTGTATTGAATATGGTTTCTTATTATCCCTTTTTGAAGTTGTCTCAGACGCCAATTTAAGTTACAGGTTCTAACCATTTTAGCTACCGCTGCTTTTGAATCTTGCCAATTGAAGCTCTGTCTAGTTTTTGGTATTGTTCTTTGTGTGTGATTCTGTAGCGCCTGTCTACAAAATTCAAAGTTAGAAGGTCTTCGTCAAGACCTCTAACCGCTATTCGCTTGAAGCCATTTTAATCATTGATCTAAGAATGTGATTGTCTACATTTTACATCTTAGAAATTTCTGATCGGGTTTTCCATCATACATTATATCTATGCCAAAGGATCGATCTGACAATGTTATTTAAGAATATGAATTATGTTTTAGGTGATGGTTTCATTTTGGTTGAACTACAATAGACAATACAAGGAAGCTTATGTTATCATTCAGCAAGAAACACTTCAAATATCTCGGATGCGTGATGAAGAAAGAAGGAAAGAAAAATTTAAAGTTCAGAAGATATTGTGGAATTGTCGAGAAGACGATAAATTACGAGATTTTTTGTGAATGGATGAGAGAGACAGGACAAAGAAGGATGCTAAAAAATACAAACTTGTTCAGAGCTAAAAGACAAGGCACTTTGTTGAGTATTACAGAATGCGAAGGCCAGAATCATAATGGTCAATCGCTTGGCCGGAGTGATTCGTGAGTGGGCATTCTGATAGTGATGATTTTTTTCTGCGTTTTGAATATAAGTCCAAACGGTGCCAATTGAACAGAGGGTCTCAAGAATTCTGAAGCGTAAATATGCCTCCCACATTCACCTTTGCGACCCGCTAATACCACCCGTTGAAATAGTAAATACAACCGCTCCTTCTGCTCGAATAGTTTCTTTTCTCATACTTCCCGCCAAATTATTCCTGTGACAAATACAATCTTCAAAACTTTGAATGGAATGTCATCTGACCTCTTCTGTCTTCTTGAATCCCGTTCATCGTTTGTCAATTCCTCAATCCTGCCTATGCACAGTGTTTACTATAACTTTCACACAGTTTAACCCCCTGCGTATTAGTGGGCTCCTCCCCCCTTGCTTGGAGTGATGTGATCAGAATTTTTTTAAAATTTGAATATATATATATATATATATATATATATATATATATATATATATATATATATATATATATATATATTTCCTCTACTACTACAGAGTGTCGTTGTCATCACTTAGAGATGCTAATTCGAATGCGCGTATTGGAACGAGTAGCGACATGGAAATATAGTTCTGCGAGAAGAGTTCCAATTCTGGCCGAGTTCAATATGTTCACATTCTCAAAAATACTCTTGGAAAAAGTGATAGACTATCTCTTCTACTCCTCCATTTATGGGTCAAATAGCAGGTCTCGGTTTGAGGTTGCAACCCTTATAGTAGATGACAAACTCTGAAGAAGGAAGGGCTCCGCCAGGTTATATTGAGGTAGTCACACCATTGCTGTTCAAACTCTATTGGAGTTCATTATGTTGATATATTTTAAAACATATAACTCCAAACTACCTTATGAATCTAATTGCACAAAAGGGTTTATTGCGGATGAAAGACAATAGAACGAAATAATGTGACAAATGGTTACGGAATTTAAAAAAGGACAATATTAAAAACAAATGTCAATGAGAAAGATGTTGACAATTGAGGTTGACATTTTTATAGATTTCAGTTGTGCAGAAAGACATTTTTCTACACTAATTGTTAAACATGGACTGGTCTATCCGCTGTGATTAGAACGTCGGCTCAGAGGAAGTGTCAGCGCAATGTGTGTCGAAAAGGTGTTGTTACTGAGTCGGGCGCATTGCCGTACTGAATAGGGATATTATCTATTACTGTATTATTAATCCATATCTCAAATGCGATTGCTCCTTTTCTTCACTCAACCTTTTGTTCCAATATTTCCTCACAGTATTATTAACCAGTACTACGAGCGTTGTACGAGTTTGTAGCAATTTCTGTTGACAGGAAATCAAGGAGCTGAAAGAGATTTCAATCGGTGTGAAGTGCGAGAGGAGAAACTATGTGGAAAATAAATGGGCGTTTACATTTGTCAATTTCAACATACCAATCGCTTAGCTTCGCAACCTAGTAATAGGCTAAACTTCATAAAGTCGAGGTACTAAAGAAGAAATCTCCTCAGAACAAATGCTATGAAATTCTTTGTAGAAAATCAACGAGACTAATGATTGGATTTCGTAGCAATATCCGTTGGAACGTAAATAGAATATCTCTTCGACTCCTCCAGGTACAGTTATAATATTACGGCTAATTAGTCTGCCATGCATAATTTGACATCCAGGCTAGTAGAAGAAACACACTGAATTCAAAACAAATCCGAAGTGTTAAGTCCCGTATGACTGTAAAATCAAGCCGCTTATTCGTACGATGCTACGTCTTATGGAGCCGGTCACGTTTATGTATGACATTTGGTTTCGGCTTTCTTTTGATATGATTTCTGCAGAGAAATCAATGGTATTCAACACTTAATCAAATGACTTTCTGAATAGGATTAAATGGGAACACCACAACGTGAATTGATGGTTGAATGCAATCAAATCTGCTGCCATTATAATTGGAATAATTTCCGACAGCACATTTTATATAATGATGCGCTAACTAGCCAAGCATTTTCGGCAGTAAATAAAAGGTGTCTAATTTTCATATTGAAAGTCATTAAATGATTGACCCAAAACTTTCCCTCTTCAGATATCTTCTTCCAGTTTCCCTCCTTGCGCACATGTAAACGCACACAAAGAAATATCGCCAAATGAACTTCGGCAATTCTTAGAATTTAACTTGTAATTTTGGTTTCAATTATTATGTAGCGTCGTCATTCACGTATTTTTTTTATTTTTTCATATTTATCAACACAGGTGACTTGCTGTGTACGCTGAATGACGGGAAACAGACATTTTCTGGCACCTCAGTAAACATTATATATTACTGCATATATATTGTTAGGGACGTGAATATTATTCCATTCTTAATAAATGCTTGAAAATTATCATCCTATTTCAATTCGTCTATCTGAGGACAACTGGGAGTAGACGCACGCTTAGCCAAAAAGATTTTAGCAAATACAAAGTTTACTACGAAATTAAACACTCCTATTTATTTCTAGGGAAACGGATAAGGGGAAAAAACCAGACTGTTAGATGCATCAACATTGGTTAATCATTTTCGAGGATCTCTATATTTTATCGACGGACAATTGTGCAGGACCATCAGGAGAGTTTCTTATCTCCACACGCCGCTGTTACTAGAGCTGAAAAGCATTACTTGCCATCTAGGTCTGCTCACTTTCAGTATGTTGCCTCCTAGACCTTCATCAGATTCTTTTTTACGGCATGATGAAATTCACTTACAAAAATCTGCTTCGCATGTACTATCGTACGAAACGTCAGTATGTCATTATCCTAAGAGCAACATTGGAAAATATGGGTTATTGATGCCAAAGTTAGAAATCTAAGGCAATATCACCATCATAACCGATATATTAAGATAGTAGATATTACATTAGAAATAGACCTTGTATCACTAAGTTGTTATATATATATATATATATATATATATATATATATATATATATATATATATATTGTGTCAATAGGACAACTGAATCGACAACTACTGCTAAAACTTTCTCTTGGAAAATGAAAACAATAAAAACTTGAACTGTATAGACCAAACGAGATGCAATCTACTAGTGTTGCAATATCATCAAATTACACAAACCAATATTAGTATTTCAATAGGTTTTCTGAATAAAGTATATTTAATTTATGTTTCAATAACTTTTAAACACTTGTCTAAGTGCCCGGAGCATGATTCTTTTGTTGAGTTATTTTGAGAGACAGAATAGGAGTAACATTTTAAATTCATTTTACCGTTTCATCTTTAATCATATTTTTAAAGGAAGAAGAATTGTACTCGCCTGTCAGCTTCCAAGTATGTAATTTCTCGAGACACACCTTGAGCATATAATCTGAATATCTTCTTCATTATACGTATTATAAGCTACCTAAAATACATCTT